TGGACAAGCAAAAACACATGATTCCAGCTTGGGACAAGCATGTTAGATACCCCCTGCCTCCTCACAGACAAGGCTTGCGCTCGATACATCCTGTGATTGATGCCCCCCCCCCCCGATGAGGCCCCCGCTCGAGACATCCTCATCTCTGCAAAACAAGCGCTTCGCCTGAGATATCCTCCACAAATTGTATGAAACAAGCGCTTCGCTTGGGACATCCTTCGCATTTTGATCCGCCGCCCCTCTTGGACCTCGTCATATATATATATATATATATATATATATATATATATATATATATATATATATATATACTAGAACCACGCGCGCGCTTCGCGCGCGCTTAGGTTCTGTCGAGTCACAGACCCAGGAATCGTTGTGAGAAGAAATTGGTGACGCGAAGCGTCGTGGGGGCGTCCTTGGACGTCTGGGGTCTCCTGGGGCCTCTTGAGGGGCCTCCTGGGGGCCTCCTGGCGGCCTCTTGGGGCGGAAGGCTCGAGCTTGCGGTTCGTGGTCCCCCTCTGGGCCCCCTCTTGGGCCCGTCTTGGGGCCCTCTTGGGCCATCTTGGGCGCCTCTTGGGCCGTCTTGGGGCCCTCTTGGGCTGTCCTGGGGCCCTCTTGGAAGCTTCTTGGGCCGCCTTGGGGCGGTCTTGGGCGCCTCTTGGGCCGTCCTGAAACGTCGGAAAGCCAAAAAGACAACTTTGTTGAAAATGTACGTTTTACGAAGGGAATGGGTCAATTTTTGCATCAGGGGGCCCTCTTGGGACGCATGTTGGAGGCTTCTTGGGGCCTCTTGGGGGCGTCCTTGGACGTCTGGGGTCTCCTGGGGCCTCTTGAGGGGCCTCCTGGGGGCCTCCTGGCGGCCTCTTGGGGCGGAAGGCTCGAGCTTGCGGTTCGTGGTCCCCCTCTGGGCCCCCTCTTGGGCCCGTCTTGGGGCCCTCTTGGGCCATCTTGGGCGCCTCTTGGGCCGTCTTGGGGCCCTCTTGGGCTGTCCTGGGGCCCTCTGGAAACTTCTTGGGCCGTCTTGGGGCGGTCTTGGGCGCCTCTTGGGCCGTCCTGTAACGTCGGAAAGCCCAAAAGGCGACTTTGTTGAAAATGTACGTTTTACGAAGGGAATGGGCCAATTTTGCGTCTAGGGGCCCTCTTGGGACGCATGTTGGAGGCTTCTTGGGGCCTCTTGGGGGCGTCCTTGGACGTCTGGGGTCTCCTGGGGCCTCTTGAGGGGCCTCCTGGGGGCCTCCTGGCGGCCTCTTGGGGCGGAAGGCTCGAGCTTGCGGTTCGTGGTCCCCCTCTGGGCCCCCTCTTGGGCCCGTCTTGGGGCCCTCTTGGGCCATCTTGGGCGCCTCTTGGGCCGTCTTGGGGCCCTCTTGGGCTGTCCTGGGGCCCTCTGGGAAGCTTCTTGGGCCGTCTTGGGGCGGTCTTGGGCGCCTCTTGGGCCGTCCTGTAACGTCGGAAAGCCCAAAAGGCGACTTTGTTAAAAATGTACGTTTTACGAAGGGAATGGGCCAATTCTTGCGTCTAGGGGCCCTCTTGGGACGCATGTTGGAGGCTTCTTGGGGCCTCTTGGGGGCGTCCTTGGACGTCTGGAGGCCATCTTCAGCATCTCGGAGCCCTCTTGGAGGCCTCTTGGAAGTTTCTTGGGCCGTCTTGGGCGCTTCTTGGGCCGTCTTGTCTGACTGGGGAGGCCTCCGGCAAGCCCCGACGAGCCTCCGGGCCCCCCGGGGTGCACATTTGTGGTCGAGGTCCCGGCCCCGGGCCCCCGGACCCGGTGCGCCGTTATATGTGTATATATATATATATATATATATATATATATATATATATACGTATATCGCGGGATAAAGCCGCTGGCCTCTTTCGGCCGAGGCGCCGGGGGCTGGTTGACCCACTGCAAGAGAACCCTGGGCCAGAACCCTTCTTGGGACAAACTTGCAGTTTGTGTATTGGGACGAGTGCGGAAGACACGTCTCGGCCCCCCCCGTCGATTCACGAGAATCGGGCTCGGGGCTCGAGGCCACGAAGCCTCGTCGATAAAGCCAGGCGCGCGCGCTCCCGAAGCCTCGAGCCCTAGTCAGAGGGCAGAAAGTCCACCCCCCGAATAACCCCCCCGGGCACGCGACGTCGTTTAGTAAACGCGCCCAAAGAAGAAATCAAGCAGGGCGCCAATTGTCCGGTCCGGGTGGCTTGTCCTCCCTTGACTAGGATAGTACAACGGAAGCGCGCTCCCGAGGCCACCAGCGCTCACGACTTGACACAGACGCGTGCAACCAGCCCGCCAGCAAACGGCCGAAATCGATAGCCGCTTACCGATTTCGATAGCAAGCCAGCCAGCCGAGTGGCCAGCCAGCCAATGGACACGAAAGCCAATCACCCTACCGAGCGTGGCAGCGCAAGCAACATGAGGGGGGGGGGCGGTGGCAAAGGGCGAAGCCCTTCAGATATGTTGCCAAGCCCAGAGTGAAGAAGGGCAGGACGCGATAAAACCACGGATCGTCGCGAGATGTCCACTCATCTCGCAAGTCCCAGATACTCTGAGTGACTGCCTCGGCCTCAGTTGAATTCAGAAGACCCGGGATTCGATGCACATCCACATTCAACGATTCATACGTGCTCATTCTTCTGTCGGCAGCAGTTGTCATGAAGGCAACCGCTTGAACTGACTGAAAGGGTGATGGTAACTCTCCCAAAACCAATTGGATCGCATACGGCACAATTAACACAGACGCTGCCATTGTCCATGCTGAGAAACGAAACATCCATCTGAGATATCTGCCACAACCACTGCTAGAACGACCCCCATTGGATACAAACAAGGATACAAAATCGACGGTAGCTGCAACTTGTGAGAGTAAGACCGTTGTAGCGACCAGGGTTGCTGCAACATTCTCTGGACCACCCGACAAACTCGCCTGGACGTAACCGATACCTGGAACGTAAAAGAGCCACCTGCCTCCGCAGCAGGTCATGACAGGCGAGCCGAACATTGTGCGTGGTTTTTTATGTGGGCGCAGGCTCCACAATGCCAGCCTGGCTTGAACGACCAGGCTAGCCCGCCTTGACCCACACCACCTGCGGAATTAATGCTGTGAGTGCCGACGATGGTGGAGACGACGACAATGCGAATACGATTGTTCTTCGGGGCGGCGGCGATAATGAGAATGCTTACGAGAATAACGTCTGTCCCAAATTTGAATGACTGCATGGGCTCGTTGGTAACTGATCACTTTTGCCGCGCCGTAGCTTTTGGGCTTAAGGAGATTTAGTAAGCTCGAGGATTATTCGCCCGCAGCGGCAGATCACTGCTGAGATCATGGGAGGCCCCGATTTGCGTTGACCTCCCCTCCCCAGACCTCCGACGTCATGATTTTCTCAGAACGTCGACCCCCAGAGGTCTCGACCCATTCCCCGGAACCGGTTTTTCATCCTGAGTCGTTTCTTGACGGTCCCGCGGCCCCGTTAGGGCCCTGAGAGGCCGAGAATAGCGAAAAGCCTCCCGTCGTGATTTTTTTCACAACACGAGGGGGCCTGGGTCGCACGCCCAGTCGCTCGAAGATGCCCAAGGTGCTGACGTGTATCCCGGGTGCGAGGACGCTGCCCGCTCGCAGCAGCCGTCTCGACAGCCGACAAGGGGCCACCCCATCGGCTCCTCCGCCGGCGCTCCTCGCTGACGGCAGGCCGAACTCCGCAGTGAGGACCCCGGGCCCGGAAGATGGGCTCCAATGCCCCCCCCCGGACAGGCGGCCACACGTAGCGGACTTCGGAAACCCTGAATCCAAAAACGTTTCCATCTCTTGAGAGGTCGACTTTTGCTTCCCCCGCCTTCCGCCAGCCTTCCGCCAGCTTCCGCCGGCGGAGGCGCCCTCGCTTTACTTCCACCGCCTTCCGCCGCCCTTCCGCCGCCTTCCGCGGCGGACGAGATGGCAACTCTTTCTGGAACGCACGATGTGGGCCCCGCCCCTGCAGGTCAAATCTCTGACGCGCCGGCTGGGGTCCAGAAGCCGAAGGACGTCTGCGGCCAGGTGGGCCCCATCGGGGGTGTCCGGCGCCCCAGCGTCGATTTTGGACCCGCAGGGGCTGGGGCTCGCAATCGGTCGCGGACTGAGGGCCCAAGGCGGCGAGGAGTTCGGGGTACCAAAGACGTGTGGTGACGGACCGCGTGGTGACCTCGAACTCCCCAGCGACCTCACCGCGCGGTCCGTCGCCGCACGGTGTTGGGATCTCGGAGGCCCCAGGCGCTCGAGACATCCTCGCAGAACGACCCGAGTCCCAAAACCGCGCGGTGGCTCCGACTCCCCACTGACTCACCACGTGTTGTGGTCACCACACCGCTTGGGCAGGGGAAGGAAAAAATACATGAACCCAAACTTTCGGATGTCCGCGCGGAGTTCTTGGATCTGCGCTGAACCCCCATCCCCGGCGCGAGCCAGGAGCTCTGGCGCAGTTCCACGGAATCCGCGAGGAGCTCCGAAAGTTTGTGCTTATGCAGCTTTATCCGTCGCTCGGAAGGAGCAAGCAGAACCCTGAAGTGGGAAGGCGGGAAAAAAGCACATTGGGTTCTGGCTTTCCCAGAGAATCACGAACACACAGCAGAAGCATATCGATTCTTGCAGTAGTAGAGGAAGAACATGACACATAAACATGAACTTTCGACGGTCCGCGCGGATTCCTTGGATTTGCGCTGGGGCCCCCTCCCTGGCGCGCGGAGCGCGCCAGGGGCGGCGCCAGAGGCGCCGCCAGGGGGCCCCAGCGCGGATCTGAGACATCCGCGCGGAGCGCCGAAAGTTTATGTGTATGTGTTTTTGTCCTTCTTCGAGGTAGGGAGGCGCCCTAAGTGGCTTGGGATCTCGGGGCATCCGAGAACACATACCTTCCACGACCGGCGTGTAGCTTTCTCGACTGGGGGCGCCTGGAGGAGGCGCCGGCCGTGGCTCGCCCACGGCGCCGGAGGCCCCCGGGGCACGGGGCCGCGGCGGCCGAGCTTCCAAGAGGCCGCCCCGCGGCGCCTGCGGGCAGACGCTGAGGTGCCTCCGCGCCTCCTGCAGCTCCGTGGCGACGTCGGCGCCGCACACGCGCGCCTCCCCCGACGTGATGGGCAGCATGCCTGTCTCAGAGTCTTGAGCAGGGGGCAACTACTGAGAGGCCTTCGTCGGAGGGATGAGAGGGGACTGAGCCCCCAGAGGGGGCTGTCACGCCGGGCTGGGCCTGGGATCAAGGGGGACTAAGCCGGATTCATCGGGATCGAGCCGGACCAAGCCGGACTTCGGACCAGGGCACGGTCAGAAGTTGACCTCCCAGGAGTTGCATCCGAATCTTGAGGTTTGGAGGCTTGGAAATTGACACCAACACCAACAGAGGGGGTTGCCTCCACAGGGGGGAGATGATCCCAGATTTCGGTGTTGGTGGTAATATTTCGGTCGCCTTGGAAGCCAGAATATTACCACCATCACCGAGATCGGGATCGTCTTTCCTCGGTGGAGGCAGACCGCCGATCTTGGTGTTGGTGGCAACCTCTAGGCCTGCGAGAGGTGACTCGGCAGCGAGCCGAGCCCCGAGATCCTGGTACTGCACCGTGCTCGCAGCGGGCGTCTCCGCCCGGTCTCGGGCTCCGGGGCCCTCCCAGATCGATCCGGCTCAGAGCAAAGACGCCGAGAGATGGGATGCGGGGCTCTGGTCGTGGTTTTTTGGTTGGCGGTGTGGCAGTTTTGCTCAACGTCGGATCTCAGGGAGGGGGGAGGTGAGAGGGGGCCAGCCTCCTCACAGGGCGGCGGGGCTTCTCAGAAGCCCTCCAGCCTTCTGAGAGGCCCTCCGCGCCTTCTGAGAAGCCCTCTGCGGGGGCAAGGCTGAAGGCCGCACGAGCCATCTGAGGAGAAGGCCCACCCCCTCGGCCTTGCCCCCCCTGGCGCGCCGCCGAGCGAGGGCGTGGCAAAGGCCGAGCATCGGGCAGAGGCACACGCCGGTCGGAAGAAGTAGGTAAAAACATCGAGTAGGAAGGCGGGCAAGAGCAGACTGGGCCCAGGGGCCCCCAGAGAATGACAAAAGGCAGCAGAAGCACATCGACTCCTGAAGCAGGAGGGCGCTTGAAGTAGATCCAGGTCTGGCAAATTGAGCCATGGCGGTCTGCATGCCAGCTCCGGTGCCGGAGCGGTGCCCTGGAGGGCAGACGAAGAACCTCGCGCAGCAGCGGCCAAACGCCGCATGGGCAATCTCTCATCCCCACACAATGTGTGAAACGTTACAGATCGGGATCTGGGCATCCGATTTTTGTCTTTCGCCCGTCACGCCAGCCGGGTCGGGCGCCGAGTCTGTCGTGAAGCAGCACGATGGCAGCCCATATTCACGGCAGGCCAGCGCGAAACACGACCGCCAGACAAGCTGGGGAACGCCGCTTCACGGAACAGTATGAGCGGACACAGAGGCAAAAAGAAGGGGAGATCTGGGCATCCGAAAATAGTTACCCACATGTTGTCATCGGCCGGCGCGCATCCATCTCAGGATCTCTGGGGCCAGCCTCGAGGGATCCCCGGGCGCCGCGCGGCCGTCCCAAGGGCCCCCCCGCCTGGAGCGCCGCAGACCCGCTCTGAGCACCGATCGTCCTCTGTTTACGTACCCCTTTTTTGGCGGCGAGCGAGGGGGGGATGTTGTTTTTTACTTATCTGCGCTTTACTTTTATTTTTTGGGCGGCGAGCGGGGGGGGGGAAGTGAGAAGGAGAAGGCCTTCTCGCAGGGCGGCGGGGCTTCTCAGAAGCCCTCGCGCCTTCCGAGAAGTTCTCGGCGTCTTCGGGGACGGCTCAGAAAACTTCTCGGAAGGCCGGGGGACTTCCGAACCTTTCCGGGAAGGCCCCCCCATCCTGATTTTGCCCCTCGCTCGCCGCCGACATCTGGCCTTGGGGCAGCTATCCCTCAAGAACATGGTCCCTGATGTTCATCATTGCTCCTTGGGCCCTATGGTCGGGCCTTGGCCAGAAGAACATCCCTCGAGAACATGAAACCCTCCGTCGGCCAGAACGAACACAACATCCAAGCGTACCCTTTCCAGGATGTACACGAACGTCCAACAAACACGAAGGACTCCAGGGTACCCTCCTTGGACCGACCTCGGTCTTATACCTCTGTCCGACTGTAAGGCAACTACCTTGGCGTTTTCGCGCCCACCCACCCCGTGTGGAACGGGATGGGGGACTCGCTCCTCGCTCTGAAATCGCCCAGACCGCGAAGCGCGAGGCGCGACTGTCTTCGCACCCCCGCGGTGGCCCCAGCCACCCGAGGACGAGGAGGAGGAGGAGAAGGAAGAAGAAGAAGAAGAAGAAGAGAAAGAAGAAGAAGAAGAAGAGGAGGAGGAGGAGGAGGAGGGAGGAATAGAAGGAGGAGGAGGAGGATGAGGAGGAGGAGGAGGAGGAGGAGGGTGGCGCAGCCGAGAGCGGCGCGAAAGCTGCGCGAGATTCGCGCGCCGCCTCGGCGGGTTCAGTGGGCACGCGCGGCAAGAAGCCTCGCTGCGAAGCACCACGCAGCTTCTCCGTTCCCACGAGCCCGATGCAGGGACGATGAAGAATGCCAGCTCTCCCACCGAGAGAAGCGGGACTCCGCAGTGCGAAGCAGCAGCCATGGAGAAGAGGGGAGGGGAGGAGAGGAAAGAAAGGAGGAGGAGGAGGAGGAGGAGGAGGAGGAGGAGGGAAAGGATGCGGGAGGAGGAGCAGGCAGACTCCCAGAGGGAATCGCACGCGGCACTCCGCTGTTGCGGACAAGGGTCAGGGGGTCGCGGGTGCGCGTGGGTCGCGGGTGGGTCGGGGGGTAAAGTCGCAGGCGGGACAACAACAACAATCAGTTGACCATCATGCGCCATGCTCCCACATGTCACATGCATCCTTCTGGATACCTCACCCCATCATGGGGGATTTTTGTCTGGCATGCGGGGCACCCAGATCTCCCGCCCAAGAAGGTATTGCCACCACCTCTTCCAAGGAACTTCGACATCCACAGCTCGGACGGCATATCGTCATCGCAGTCGCCTTGCCCACGCCCCGCATCTCGGAGGAGGAGGAAGAGGACGAGGAGGGGAGGGAAGATGAGGGAGAGGAAAAGGGAGAGGAGGAGGAGGAGGAGGAGGATGGAGGAGGAGGAGGGGGAAGAGGATCAGTTGTAGTAACAATACCTGCTGTTATTGTTGTGGTTGAAGCAGTACCAACATTAGTAGGGGGAGGAGGAGGAGGACGAGGACGAGGACGAGGAGGAGAAAAAACGGCGTCAGTCCAGCGTAAACGGAAGGAAGTCTCGGACGGGAGCGCTGGTTTTGTCGGGACGGGGGCTGTCGGCGGCGAGCAAAAGCACCGCCTTGAGTAAAAAAGGGAAGGTGTCTCGAGCGAGAGCGTTGTTGTTGCTGGGGGGGGGGCGCCGATGAGAGAAAGAGTAGCGCGCCCGTCCAAGGTAAAACGGGAGGAAGTCTCGAGCGGGAGCGCAGGTTTTGTTGAGATGGCTCCTTTCAGCGGCGAGCAAGAGCACGGGCCCTAAGTAAAAAAGGAGGACGTCTCGAACGGGAGCGTTGTTGTTGTTGGGGGGCCGGTTTTGGCGGCCCCCCGAACCGCTTGAAAGCGTGCCTCATTTTCAATGGAAATGCAGCTGGCGCCTCGGCGAGAGCGCCAGGGCGCCTGTAAGGGGTCCAACCATAATAATTGTTGAATAATTACCATTCAACAGCGACAACAACAATCATATGACCCTCACGCGCGATGTTTCCACACGAGGCATGCGACCATCATGATAACCATCCCCACCATGGGGGACTCTTGTTCTATACCGGGGTCGGTTAGTCCCATTCACAGATACCCCGCCCAATGAGGTCTTGCAAACCTCCTCCGATGAATTTCAACATATCCCGCCTAGAAAATGCATGTCCGCGCCTTGCTGCGCCGATGCGAGACCGCTAATGGAGGCCCAGCCAAGGGTAAAGCACAAGGAAGTTTCGAGCGACAGGATTGCCTTGGTGGGGATAAGGGCTGTCGGCGGCGAGGCAAGGACCTGGCCCTGAATAGAAAGGGAGGAAGCCTCGAACAGGGCCGCTGTTGTTGCTGGGAGCGGCGCCGATGCTGAAGAGAGTAGGGCCCTAGTCCAGCGTAAAACAAAACGAAGTCTCGAGCGGGAACGCTGGATCTGTTAGGGCGGCGCTTGTCGGCGGCGGGACGGAACACCGCCTTGAGTAAGAAAGGGGGAAACCTCGAGCGGGGGCCGTGGTTTTGTCGGGACGGGGGCTGTAAGCGGCGAGGAACAGCACCGTCTTAAGGAAAAAGGGGGGAAGCCTCGAGCGGGAGCGTTGCTCCTGCTGGGAGCGGCGCCAAGTTAAAAGAGAGTATGGCGCCAGTCCAAAGTAAAACGGGAGGAAGTCTCGAGCGGGAGCGCTGGTTTGTTGGGACGGCGGCTTTCGGCGGCGAGGAGGAACACCGGCCCTGAGTAAAAAGAGAAGAAGCCTCGAGCGGGAGCGTTGTTGTTGCTGCGGGCGGCGCCGATGAGAGAATGACTAGCGCGCCAATCCAAGGTAAAACGAAAGAAACTCTCGAGCGGGAGCGCTGGTTTTGTTGGGACGGCGGCTTTCGGCGGCGAGCAACAGCACCGGCCTGGAGAAAAAGGGAGGAAGTCTCGAGCGGGAGCGTTGTTGTTGTTGGGGGTCGGTTTGGGCGCCCCGCAAACCGCTCGAGCGTGAGCCTCATTAAAATGTAGCCGGCGCCGAGGCGAGAGCGCTAAAGTGCCTGGGGGGTCCAACAATAATAAGAATAGTCGATGAGTAACTAACATTCATTATCAGGAACAACAATACCTGCTAACAACGAGAAATATGATATATATATATATACAAATTTATATATAAATATATAAGCAACAAAACAAAAAGAATCGAAAAAAAATGACAACATGAACAACAGCAGCAACAGCAACTACAACCACAACACCAACAACAGCAACCACATCAACAACAACAGCAGCAACAACTACTACTACTACTACTACTACTACTACTACTACTACTACTACTACTACTACTACTACTACTACTACTACTACTACAAGTACTACAAGTACTACTACTACTACTACTACTACTACTACGACGAC